ATCCACAGGCATGGACACACCCAACTGAGTTACATGAAAGCTTTTACCAGCCACTCATGAACCATCAATAGAGAGGCTCCAGCCAAATCCCCCAGCTCCCCAGCCCTGTATCATCTTGCACTGGTCACAAACCTGGCCAATGTAAGTTCATTACCCAGTTTGCCACTTTTTCAAATGAAAGTGGACAAGAACCAGACTGTGTAAACTGAGTAAATTTCCCAAGCACTTTAGACATACTCACTGCTGAGGATAAAACATTAAAATAAGTTTATTAACTACAGAAAGGTAGATTTTAAGTGATTATAAGTAGCAAGTGTAGAGATCAAAGTTGGTTCCTTAAGAAATAAAAATAAATTCGCAGTCTGAGTTGTACAAACTAAACAGGATTTGAATCAAGCCGTGTCACACCCTGACAGAGGGTACAAACAGGTCACACATCCTCAATACACAGACTGGGACTCTTTTCCAGCCTAGGACCACCCGTCCCCAGTTCAAAGTCTTTGTTTTCCAGACATTCTTACAGGTGTTGAGATTGGGGCCTAGAGGCCAAGTCATGATGTCACTTCCCCTCTTTTCTACTTTATTTCCAGCGTGCTGGAAAGATCTTTGCTGTGATGTGGGTTAGTCGGCCCCCATGGTGTACTTACCTTCTCCTAGAAGCCTCTGGGATAGTGGATTGCGTGTTGATGAGCCATTAATGCCATCTGGCAATTGATGGCTACTCCTTTGTTAAAACAACAAGGAGTCCTTTTGGCACCTTAGAGACTATCAAATTTATTTGGGCATAAGCCTTTGTGGGCTAAAACCCACTTCATCAGATGCATGGAGTGAAAAATACAGTAAACAAAATATATATTATAGCACATGAAAAGATTTGAGTTGCCTTACCAAGTGCGCGGTCAGTGCTAATGAGGCCAACTCAATTAAGGTGGAAGTGGTCTATTCTTAACAGTTAACAAGAAGGAGTGAATACCGAGGGAGGGAAAATTACTTTTGTAGTGCTAACGAGGCCAATGCAATCAAGGTAGATGTCGCCCATTTCCAACAGTTGACAGGAAGGTGTGAGTATCAGCAGTGGGAAAATGACTTTTTGTAGTGACCCAGCCACTTCCAGTCTTTATTCAGGCCTAATTTGATGGTGTCCAGTTTGCAAATTAATTCCAGTTCTGCAGTTTCTCATTGGAGTCTTTTTTTGATTTTTTTTTTTTTTT